CCGCAGATGAGGTAATAAGAATAACAGCTACTGAGTCAATGAAAGTAGGAGTAGTAGTGGCTTCCAGGTGGTGCATTATAATATAAACCTTAAAAGGTAGAAGGACAGTTGTTATAATTCAGTAGATAAATACAAGAAGTGTACATTGTTTAAATAGATGTTATTTGTGAAAAAAGCTCCCTTATCGAATATTTTACCATAAATTTTAAGAACGCCTTATCTGACTTTTATCAGTCTTAAACAAAATTAATAGTTACTTTAAACATTGTTTATTTCAAACAACTTTACGGTATATACAAATAATGCAGAGTATTAATGTACACAATACAGAAACGAATTGTTGAAAAGGATTTGGTCCGAAAGCTAAACTTATAAAGGTATTCTACAATGTATAAAAAATGTGTGACAGTATACGTGACTTTCTTGAAATATATCTGATTTTACATCCATATTTTAAATAATTAAAGTCAAAATTGTTTCTTACATTAAGTAATAATCTAAAACAAATTGATAAGCAATTAAACAAGAATTTATAATACAAGACATCATTAAATAGAATTGACATAAATTAAAGCAGAAAGAATGAAAATGAGGGAGAAACTTTCAGAAATATAGAAAGAGGAAATAACGAAAATGTGGATCATTCGAATAGTTCGACAATTTTGATAGGAACCATACAGTTGATGTGATTTAATGTGAATATGATCAAGACAATCTCCTGCTTTCTCGGATATAGGTATTAACGGCTCAAAAAGTCTTTTGTTTGCATCATCGCAAATTCTTGGGTTTCCATTTAACAAAGTTTGGATAGTTGCTGAACAAATGGTAAATATACGAGTAGTGTTAAGAAGACAGGCCCTTATGTCAACATAACATTGACATTCTAAGAAAACATGGTAATTACTTTCCTGCCACAATGACAAAACACGGGTGAATATTAAAATGTTAAACATTGCTTAGATAATCTTGTTGGCTGTCCTATATTTGAACATTCTCAACCTGCTTCATTTATTAAAAGAATTTTTCAAGATTCTAGTTTTGAAATATTCCATTACTGATTTTAGATATTCAAGATAGCACTGTGAAGTTGGCCAGCCAACAGGACAGTATAGAATCTGGTCAGACTTAGGAAGTGCTGGCTATATTTTCTATTAGGTTAACGATTAATTTCTTAAAATCTAAAGTGCCATGCAAAATCTATGTCTACGTGCATATTCCTGAACTGCGTTTACAAGAAGTTATATAAAATACAGGATTGTTTGGACTTTTTTGAGTATGTGATGCAAAGTGAATTACACACATAATTGCTGTTAACATCTAAAAGGTACACAAAGCTTCTACATTTGTAAAACTGTAATCAATATATAGTGACAATGAAAAGGTTTTCTTATTTCTCTCTGTGTCTTTTTCTACTTTTGTCTTACTCTTAAACATGATATCAATTACTATTTCTCTTTCATGTATTTATTCATTTTAACATTTTATGATGAATATGTGATGCAAGAAATGCTACTGTTACATTATATACACTTTGTATATATTATGACGTATATTATGACATTATTATGATATATTTGATATTTGTTATTACAAAATAAAGCAACAGAATCTGAATAGTTTAATGGCACACTGCGTGCGAACAATGTGCATGTTTGTTTGTTTGTTTCATTTTACGCCTTTTCCCAACAGCATTTCAGTCATATAGGCGGATAGTTTCCTAACCATCGTTCCTGGAGAGTTATACCAGTACTAGACTACCTTCCTCAGCGCTAAACTACCAAAGCATCTCCCGGGGATCGAACCCACGACAGAGAGGTAACTGGATTAGAAGTCATCGACTCTAACCCCTCGACCACGGAGGCGGTTCCAAGGTGCATGTGATCAGGGTTTTCATAAAGAGGGGTATAGGGGAAAGCTGCTCTTTGGTCAATACTCAGAACGTATGACTGTTCTCTCATTCTTCTGGCCGAAAGCTTCGTGTTAAATTTACAGGGAATAACTGAATTTAAGTAGAGTTTTTTTTTGTTCATTCTAAAACTACAAGATAAAATATGGGAATGTCATTAGCTCGTTGAATCTCCTGTTCCAAATCTGCCAATAGTTATTTGTGTTTGTGCAGAAACGGACTTCAAATTGTATTTGCAAAATATCAAATTTTTCTTGGTGGACGATATATAATGTTCACATTTTAAGTATTCAGTAGGCTTCATATGATTATGATTTCATTTCAGATGAAGTAATTTGCTATATGCTACTAGTAAGAAAAACCTTTAATAGACTTGCATAATACATAATAAAAATGCAAATATTACAAAATGTTTGATGTATGTAATGCAATATATCAGTTCACAAACTTATAGTTGAGTTTTGAGAAAAAAGTATCTTCATGTAACTGTTATGCTTGTTTATTTACATAATAATTAATGGAATATGCACGAAATCAATGCAGACAGGTTAAATCCCTTGTTAAAGCAGCACCATGATTACATTGACAGAACGTTTTATTTTATTTATATACAATGTGTGTTAAATAACAAAAAACGTGCTACGATAAAAAAAATCTTATTTCAGAATCAATCATCACTTTATGGAAACAACATAAATTTATCGTTTAAAATTTTTATGAAAAAAAAAACAATATATTTAATTAGATACCCCTTCATCAAAACATCAAAGCAAATTACAAATATTTTATTCAAGCTTATAATGTAGTTTGATTATTAAATTTACTTATGGTTCGTTCATTTTAGATGAGTCATTTTAAAGCTTCATGCCTCAAGGGGACCCAAATTAATCTTATTTCTAGAAAATTAAACTTAAAAAAATACTAAGATTTATAAGAAAAGTAAACAAATTTGATGTTCAGGTAATAATGTAAATGTTACGTGCGATTAAGGACTGATTTTTCTGTATGTATCACCATATTTCAACTGCTTTACTAAAGCAGTAAGGCTATATTTTGCTTATTTTGACCTGATTTTTGGTAATTTACGTGGAATGCAAGTGTTTTCTGCATTGTGTAAATAAGTGTCATTGTTCACTCACAACACTTTTCAATACATTTTACAAATGTTCATGAAATTTAGCATAAATCTAGAGGCATGTTGATTTAAATACATAATAATCAATATATCAAGTTTAAATAAGGAATTCGATACTAACTCCATTGTGTGAAATATGCTATATTTAAACTTTATTTTTCATTCCAAATAAGGAAGTTTATTTAAATTCTTTGAAATTAAAAAAAAAATGAAAACGAAAGTTTGGATTATTACAGTGCCAAAATAAGACGGTTTTAGATTGAGAAACAAAAATGCCTGGTAATTTTTTTTAATTTATATTTACTCGTGAAGTACTCTCTTTGAATATAACATTATTTGTGTATTATCTCAAATATAAGACATTTTATTAGACATTGACACTTCTTCTGAAATTTTGATTATTCACTTTTGATTTGTATTTAGCAATTTAGACAATTACACATAAAGCTGCACGCCTCTAGCCAAAATATTTCAAAGCAATCAACCCTTATTGGTACGCTCATAGGATCTTCTATTTCAAAAGTTGAAAATAGTAATTTATGTTTGGGCAGAAACAGACTTAACCAAATTGTATCTGCAAAAAGGTCAATTTTGCCTTGTTGGATGACTTTTAAATTCAAATATTCAGTACCCAATATGCTTGATATAGTTTTAATTCAGATTTATTTAGATGAAACGTTACTATTATGCTATATGCAATGTAAATTGAATTACTAGTAAAGAAAAACCTTAAAGTGACATTATGTCCATCCAAGGGTATATAGTGAGTGAACATGTGAATATATAACTGAGTGAACATGTGAATATATAACTATGTTTTCATTTTGCAATAATTCCTTTTGATCTCATAATTGACTTGGAAAAAAAATAAATAACGCACGGATCCTAAAGAATTTTCTGTAAATATCCATTAGAATAACGTGTACCGTTCAGTTTATAAAAAGAGTGGGGCAGTCTTTTATATTTAAGGCAGATTTATAACATTTATCCTAAACATTTTCAAATAACACCTGTTGGTCAAATACAATTTTAACAGTCAATCTTTTGAAATATAAAGTCAATTCAGCTCAACTTGACTATGAAAATATAGGCATAATGTCACTTTAAATAAATGTTCATATTATACATGATAAAATGTACACTATTAACTTATTCAAGCTTAATCTATTGTGTATAAAGCAATATATCTTTTCACAAACTTATTGTTTGAGTTTTGAAAAAAGAATACTTTAAAAATGACTTTATGAAAATGATATGTTTGTTTATTTGCAAAAGAATAACTGGAGCATGTACGAAATCAATGTTAAACGATTAAATCCATTGTTAAAGCAGCACCATGTGTAGAAACTTTTTTTCTCACAATGTGCGTTAAATAACAAAAACATGCTACGATAAACATCTTATTTCAGAATCAATCATAAGTTTATGGAAACAACATAATTTAACCGTTTATAAATTTTATGGAAAAAATATTAGTAATTACTTTAAAAATTGCTTTAAACCCTTTCAATCAAAACATCAATTTGAAAGCAGATTAAAATATTTCTCATTTAAGCTTATTATGTAGCTGCACAATTATTTTTTTAACAGTTCGTTCATTTTAAATGAGTCATTTAAACATGTTAAAGCTTGTGCACTATGTCAAGAAAATTAAACTTGAGAAAAATGTACAAAGATTTTTTAAGAAAAGTAAACACATTTAACATACAGGTAATAATTTACATGTTATGTGCGATTAAGGACTGATTTTGCAGTATGTATCACAACATTTTTACTGCTTACCTGTGTTTTGGCAATTTATGTGAATTGTGCAATATGTTTATGATTGTATTAGTTCAAATCAACACTTAAGTTTTCAATACATTTATACAATTTTCATGACAATTAGCATGACCGTAGAAGCATGCTGATTAAATACATAATAATCAATATATCATGTTTGAATAAGATATTCGATAACTACTCCATTAGATAAAATATTCTATATCTAAACTTCATTTTTCTTTCCCAAAAAGGAAGTTAATTTGAATTCCATGTAAAAAAGCAAATAAATTTATAATCAAAGTTGGGATATAGAAAGACATTTTCAGACTGAACAACAAAAATGCCTGGTAAATATTTTATACATATTTACCCATATTGTACTTTTTTAAAATACTTATTCCTTTGTAAAAGACATTGTATTAGACATTGACAATTCATTCGATATGTTGATTATTTACTTTCGTTATTAAAACGCAACTTAGGCAATTATACTTAAAACCACACACCTACAGGTGAGTCAATATATATAAGTCATATATCAAGAAAATCAAATTTGAACAAAATGTACTTAAAAGTAAACATATTTAACTTATAATTAACATGTTGTGTGCGATACATAACTGTTTATTGCAGTTTTCACAACCATATTTTTTCTGCGTGATTAAAGAAGTGAAGACTTTTTGCCTATTTTGACCTCTTCCTAATAATTTACATGGATTGTAAGTGTTGTTTACAATGTGAAAAATACTCTCTTTTTCACTTCACAACAGTATACTTTTAAAAACATTTTCAAACTTTCATGAAAAATTGCATGATACTGGAGGCATACAGCTTTAAATCTCAGTCAACAAATAATTAAGAATTTGAGAAAATATACTTTATGTTTATACATTAGGCAAACTGAATTTTTGGCCAATGAACTAGCAGTTGACATCATAATCGTTGGTGGCTATTTTGTCTCTATCGGTTAGCGTAACCTTAGCTGCAAAAATGCACTTTTCAGTTAGTAAGTTTATAACGTTATCGTATTCAATATTAATTTGAAAATCTATTTTTGCAGAAATTGTTGTATATGTTTGGCGCCCATCTGGAGATTATGTCGGCCATAGCTCCTTGCAATTGAGTGATGGTACCTATATTAGTTGGTGGCCTGAAGGAGAGTGTGATCATAAAAATCCTCGAGCAAAAGCTTCGCCTATGGATTCACTTGAACAAGATATTGAGGCAGAAGGCGATAGAAAGCCTAATGTATACAAGATCAAAGTATCAAATGAAGAGCAATATGCTATCGTTCAGTGGTGGACAAACTTCAAGGGGAAGGCAGACTACCAGTTCGTTTCAAACAACTGCTCAACAGTACTTTACTACGCACAAGAAGCTGCTTTCCCGTTTCTGTCAAAGCTGAATGATGAAATTCCAGTATGGGTACCAGGCGCTATTGAAATGGTAGCTGAAGATTTGGCTGCTGGGAAAAGAAGTTTTGACCGAAAAAGAATCGATGAAATCAAAAAGGCCGTGGCAGATGAAGTAGAAAGATTATCCGGTGGATCAAAGAAAGTCAACAGATTCACAATTGCCGTCACTGGGAGGAAGTAAAGTTAATTTTGAAAGAGTAATATCAGTAGTTAAAAATGAACTACACAAATACTTAAACAAAGTGTATTGTTTAATTAGACATATTTGCCTGTGCATTCATTAGTAAAGAACAAAGTTTTTCATCTTTTATTTCGCCTTTGATTTTGACAGTTTTGAACCAGACTATAAAGATATCAGTTTTATGTGTACCTCTTAAGATATATTACCTTTAAAAGATATTTTGCTCATTTTTCTTTGTCAAATTGAGTTGAATCAGAAATATATTTTCAAAATATTGACTATGTTGATGGTGTTTGAATAAAAATTAATAGTGAGATTTTTTTGGGACAAAATATGAAAACTGCCTAAAAGATTGTCCCACTATTTTTATCAACTGAGCGTAACTGATACATTCTGATGGATATTTTTGAATTTTCCGTGGGTTTTCAGCAGGTGTCAAGTATTGTGTGGCAGCTGTAAAAAGTTGCCCCGTACTTCACTTCAGTGTTGTTATATTTCTTTTTTGGTCCTTCTGGATAATTGATGCCAGCACTATTAAGTGTTGAGAATTGAGTACCGCTCAAGCCGGTACTAGGGGGCGTGAGGGATGTTGCACGAATTCATTATCCCTCATGTACAGACTCAATCAAACCGAGCCTACAAGTCTCTTGTAATTTTGTTCTGATTAATGCTTCCGAGGGATTCCTTTGTTTCCAGAGTTTTTTACTAAATATTTATAAGGATTGAATATGAATTTGGACAAATTTAACAATTATGGTTATATATAAACTTATTTCGACTTTCAATATTAACACTTGGATGGACATACTGTCACTTGAAGATGATTTTTTTTAAGATTGTCGGCAATAAGTATAGTACTTTGTAAGACTGCATATATTGCTTATTGGTTTCTGTCTGTGTGCGTATATCTTCGCCTGTTTCAAATATGGTATGGTAATACCATAAAATACAAGAAAAGCATTGATGCAAAGCATCAAAGGGCGTCCAAGCAAGAAATGCAGCAAGTGAAGATGAACTAGTATGAACTTTGGTAGGCATGCTAGAGATTAAAATATTAAATAATTTTTCCAAAGGAACTTGAAATTCTATCAAAATTAACGTTGATATCCAAAATATACAGGTCTATAATATCCAAAATATACCCCCTATATGATATACATGTAAGTTTATTTATACTATATAGGAGGTATTTTTGGATATTATCAATAATAGTGGTTATTTGATAGAATTTCAAGTTCATGTGTTATTTTCTTTGGAACATATAAAATAGTAGTCAAAATGAAAAAAGTTGTTAGTTGATTTATTGGGAGGTCAATTTACTATTTTAATAAATTATTGTACTTCAAAAACCTCGTCTGACTCACCAGTGTGTTTACATTCCTATCAATAAACCCATAACAACTTATGATAAAATTGCAGACGAAAGCTTCTGTTGTTAAAAATGTCACAATATTCGGCAAATCAACATTCCATAAAATCGATTGCCTTCAAACAAAATTTAAAATTTAGAACGATTTGAACAGCGAATAGGTTTTATAGTATGTTACTGCTAGACTGTCCCACAACGTCAAAACAAGTTTGCTTCTTTACAAAGAAGCATGCGAGAGGTATTTTTGCTGCTGCGGAAGATTTGTTTAATTCGAAAATATTTGGGTCTATTTTTGCATAAAAGACACAATGAATGTTTATAAATTACAATTATTTAACAAAATAGAATTTATTATAAATATTGCATATAGTATCATAATGAAACTTCTTCTTTTTTAATGTTTTGAATAGTTATATGCCGGAGAAATGGACTTTTTTCCATAGGGATACTTTTTCTAAATGGGAACCATTTATGTTATGTCATCAAACTAAATTTAAAATAAATGATATACATATATATAAAACATTAACCAAAAATGTGACCGAAGCACATTTTCCGAAATTAACCGAAAATGTGCTTCGGTATATATATATTTATAACGCTGCATGCCTCCAACCACAATATTTGAGGAGAATGTTGAGTAAAAGTTGTGCCATTTGCGCCCAAAAAATTCCGTTGCGTAAAAGAGCAGCTAAATTTCGGTACACGGTTCACTCGGTCATATAATATTGCATGGTAATATTGTACCTGTAAAATTCACTGTTACTATTTATCGGAACATGAAATAGTAAAACGCCTATCAGAAAACAATACAATAATCGATTTATACCATTTAAAAGATTAAAACGGTATGAAACATCCGCGTAGCGCTAAGTAGCGTAAATGATATTTTCCGTTTTTTCTTTGTACCGAATTGTTTACTTCGATGTTAATTTTTCGTTTAAGTTAAGTCATATTTTGAAACGGAGCATGCGCAAAACAATTTTTGTAGACTGTTCTTAATGATTTTACGCTTTAAATGAGATTCGTTCACTACAATCAGATACGCAAAAATGGATGCCGCCAGCAATCAGTCTGAACATTGTGGAGAGGTCTGATGACCTCTCCAATAAAAGCGACATTTAAAGTTATGAACTAGGTATATCTAAATATTCACGGTAAAAATGTCAAAAGTGCAATCAGGGCGTAAAAAAGAAAAACCGAAAAGAACCTACGGAAAAGACAATTTCATATTGATAATACTGCGATATAACAATTCGTAAAAAATGGCTTTCTTATTTTTTCTATAGATTTATAAAGATTGCAATTAATTGTTATAAATATGTTTGCGATTCATTTCCTGCAAAATTCTTCAGTTCATTATTTATTACCATACTGCGACACGAATGACCGTTTCGTTAAACTAAAACTACTTCTATAAATAGATTTTCGGACTTTCACAATGTTAAGGTCATCAGTCTATTTATAGGTACAGCAATACATAATGACCCACTGTGTCCTACAAAATGATTATTTTAAAAACCCAAGAGCGCGATTAATTGACGGATAAGATAATTGCATTTGAATATATTTGCCTTGCGAAATTCTCCAGTTCGCTATTCATTGCACTTATTTCCTAATTCGCTACGCTCAAACGTAAATAAATTATTTATCCCATAATAAAGGAATCGAAGGAAGAAAGAACAACAAATACATAAATTCACATTTAGGATTTGTTATCTGCATTGCCGTTTATCGAATTCAAAAACAAAGAACGGGTGCAAAGAAACACTTTATAATATTACAAAACTGTTCAATGTTAACATAATATCAATCAATATCAATATAATATGCATTTCATATTTGATTTCAAATTTACAATATCAGATGCCCAGACTCTTTGTAACTGATAATCGTTTGTTTAAATCATCTTTGACATAACCGTCCTTTGCTCTGTCACTACGCCACCGGCCATGTCTTTTAAAAAGTCTATCAGAAATTCCTAAATTGGCCGCCGCTGTGGCTCCCCCCGATCTTAAACTATGTAATCCAAAATGAGATTTATCTAATCCAATTGAAGAAAACATATCCAGAATGATCTCCCTTGATCTCGTATAAGATAAAGAAGAGTCTGTGCATCTTAACTTATAACACTGTTTAGATTTACAGTAAGAGAGTGAACGAAATATAAACTCATTTGAATCATCGTTAATTTGAGCACATTTGAGATATAATTTAAGCAATGATACTGGACATGTTCTATTACCAGTTTTTGCTATTACACTCCAGTTACCATCTCTATAAATGTCAGTTTTACTCTTTTCAATGAAAATTGCTATATGATCGTCATGAAAAGTAATATCAGAACGTCTTATAGAAGTTAATTCAGAAAATCTAAAGAATCCTGCATATCCAAGTAAACACATTGTAATACTTCTTAACCTATACAAATCATTTGCATCGTTGCTATACATAGACACTAATTTATGTAACATTTCCGGTGTAATTGGTTCTTTTTTAGAGACTGCATGTCCAAGAATCCTGTGAGCTGCCTCCCGAACTGACTTAGTTAAATTTGAATGACATGGGTTAATAGAACATCCGGCTTAAATCATGAGCCCATTTAACTCCGTAAAAGGCATCGTCAACACTAGACGCTGAATTACATTTTTGAATGATAGAAATCAAATACA